CAGCTACAGAATTTTTTAATTATTTCAATCTCTTTATTTTGTTCTTGTTTTTCTGATTTCACTGTTTCTCTGTATTTCCTTGATTTGCTGAGCTTCCTTAAAATGACTGTTTTGAATTGTTATATAGTTTGTTGATCTCCATTTCTTTGGGATGAGCTACTGGGAAATTGTTCTTTTGGTGCCAATACGTCTCCTTGGTTTTGTCTCCTTGGCTTTTCACGTTTCTTGTTGCCTTATGTTGATGTCTGTGCATTTGGTGCAGCATTTAACTCTTCCAGACTGGTTTTGGTGTGGCAGAGGAATGTGATGGCACTGACTGGGTAGGGTCTAGTGGTTCTGGCACCAGTGAGCAGTGTAGTCTTCATGCAGCTAGCAGCTGAGGTCATTATTGAAGATTTCAGGGATCACACTGTCAATGTCTGCCATGCTGGCTATGGCTGTAGGGTCATCTTGATCTTTTTCTCCCACTGGGGAAGTTATGGCTGAGGGGAATCTTTCTTTGCACTGGGCCCAGTTCAGGTGGCAATGGCACTGGTGTCCGAGTGACACCCATGGAGCAGCATGTTTGGAGAGACCATGGTTTCAGGGTGGTAATGGCACCAGGCCCAGGGCACAGACACCTACTTGACAAATTCATAATGGTATGTGAGGTGTGGGTACTTTTAAAACAACTAGGGCACCAGGGATGAGAGCATGTGCTTGTACATGTGTACAGCTACAGTGGTTTTGGGCTGAGCTAGTGTCAGGAGAGTAAACACAAGAGACCTTTGCTTGGGGGCCCAGGGTGCGAGCACCTTCACTATGGCAGTGGCTTTAGTGTCCTTGGTATGGGTGTGACAACCCAGCCTTAGGAGGCAGGGTCTGGAGCATGGGTTCTCAATGACAACTGAGCTAGTGTTTAGCGTGCAGACATAAACAGAGCGACCTTGACTCCAGGTGCACACTAGCTTACTATGGCAATGGTTGTTGGTTACCTTAGTGGCAAAAGATGCTTTTATTCTCTGTGGAGCAGGCCAGGTGCCTGATAATGATAGTCTCTGCCTTTTTCTTTTTTCTTAGCCATCTCCTGGTGTCTCAAGAATTCTGATTTCACAAGCAATTATTTCTGTGTGGATGCTCTGTTGTGTTGTGCTCTACTCTACTGTGTTGCTGCAGATCTTAAATGGGCCCTTGAGCCCTCTCAGGGCTATTTTGGTTTGGGGGTAGCTATCTATATTTGTTTCTTTTGGGTAGGGAGCGGACAAAGGCATGGTATCACTTGCCAACATTTCTGTATACTTCTGACTTAAGCAGTTTTTGGTATGTATAACATACTTCTTAAAAAAGTCATTAGCCAAAATCTAGGAGGGCCTTTTTTCCTTCTGGGACAAATATGATGTTTAAACATCCACTCTCACAGATCAAAAGTAAGGCATAGAGCCACACCTAAAGTTGGTAGAGCAGTAAACGCTGCCCAGAGTGAAGCCACAGCAAGGGAGGAATAATTCTTAACAAATAATACTGTAAGAGTATTTTCTTTTTTCTTAGAATCAGAAAATTGTCTTAAAAGACTCTTTGAAAGCATTTACACTATGCCAAGCATTGTCCTAAGTACTTTACAGGAAGTATCAAAGATAACCCTAGGCAGTAAGTACTACTATCATACCCATTTTACAGATGACGTGGAGGATAAGAATAACTTACCCAAAGTCATATAGCTAGTTAGTAGTACAAAAAATTTTAAACCCAAGCAGTCTGACTTCTGAGCCTGCCTATATAGGAGGGTACTTTTAAAATTTTTAACTTTTTACTTTTTTCCTTAAGACCCCTTTACCTTGATTACCTTATAGTAACAACAAGTATTTAATTCTCAGATATAAATTATATCTAGTTGTAAGGAAGAAAATGATTGTTGAAAATACCATACTATACATTAGTGCATTTGTAGCTGATTTATCTAGGGAATGGTAGATTTGTTTGCACCATGAGTATATCTATTCTTAAAATTCTGCCCAATAGAATACAGCAGCTTAAAATGAAAATCATCTGATTAGTGGTTCTCAAATTTTGGTGTACATCAGAATTACCTGGGAGGCTTGTTTAAAACATAGATTGCAGCCATGTGTGGTGGGTGATGCCTATAATCCTAGCACTCTGGGAGGCTGAGGTGGGAGGATCACTTGAGGTCAGGATTTCAAGACCAGCTTAAGCAAAGAGCAAGGGCCTGTATCTACAAAAAAATAGAAAATTAGTCATGTGTGGTGGCACATGCCTGTAGTACCCAGCTACTTGGGGGACTGAGGCTGAGGCAGAAAGGATCACTTGGGCCCAAGAGTTTGAGGTTGCAGTGAGCTACAACGATGTCACTGCACTTCAAGCCAGGGTGACAGAGCAAGACTATCTCAAAAAGTCAAAAACCACATAGATTTGTAATGAAAGCAGTGGGTGCACACAACCTAAAGTTAGGGCCAAGTTAGTAACATATAACTCACCCATTAGCCCACATCTCTTTTCAAACTAATCTAAACATATGTGTTTCATAAAATTTCTTCCATACTCTTATGTGTTACATACACATTTCTGGATAATTTTGACATCCATATTCCTCATAGATTGCTAGGCTCCATCCCAGAGTTGCTGACTCAACAGGTCTGCGTTGGGGCCCAGGAATAAGCATTTCTAACAAGTTCCCAGACAGTGTTGCTGCTTGTCCAAACAATCATACTTAGAATACCACAGCTTTACAGCACCTGCAATTCTTCTTTTTATTTGGGGCTTTTTCTATTTCTCTTGACATTAATGAAATAAAGCAAAACCACACATTTGAAACTCTTAGATGGCAAACAAATTTTATTCTAAAAATAGATCTTGGTAACAAATACCAAAAGCTTATCATTATAATAAAAAGGGGAAATAAGTAACAGGAGTTTGCTTTATTTTTTCCTGAAAATACAAAATTATCACTATAATATACTGCCAACTCTTATTTAATCTGTATTTGAATTATTCTTTTTATGGATTATCCAAGGAAATTTTAGAATCATAGACTGGCTTCTGCCTAATATTTAGACATACATACATCTGGATTGTTTTTATCTTCAAGTAAACACATTCTCAAGGAATGCAAACAAAATCGAGCATTTGCTTAAGTAAACAATTAGGAAGATAAATTTACGCTTAGGAAATATTTCAAAGCAAAATATTGTTTCGTATCACCATTTCCCTCATTTTTTGCAAATAACAAAAAACTGTATGGAAAGTACTGGTATTTGAAAGTAACAAGTTATCCTACTTATATACAGAGAAAAGACATAACTAAATTATTTCACACCCAAGCAGAGAAATTTTGAAGGCATATAATGACATTTAGTACTAAAAGTGGTTTTCTATCTTCAAAGTGCTAAAGAAATAAGTATTCAAGACAAAACTTCAGGCTGGTCCACAAAGTTCTAACTGATCTGAAGAAATGAAATACCAAGAAAGTAGGGGACAAAAGTTAAATTTAAAGGCTCTCATTACTATGACATATTTTAACTATATTTTGCAAAGTAATGAAAGCAGTGGGTGCACACAACCTAAAGTTAGGGCCAAGTTAGTAACATATAACTCACCCATTAGCCCACATCTCTTTTCAAACTAATCTAAACATATGTGTTTCATAAAATTTCTTCCATACTCTTATGTGTTACATACACATTTCTGGATAATTGTTAACATCCATATTCCTCACATCAATTGGTGATAATGCACAGCCAATAGAAATGATCCCTTTGAAAATTCTTGATATCACCATTCTTTGCAAATCAAAAGCTGGCCTCAAAAGTTTTGTTTTATTCCTATTAAATGTAGGTACATGTTCAGTAGGGTGGCTTTAGTTAATTTTTTTTACTTTCAGAAATTGGTGTGCTTTACTTTGGCCTCTAAGATAGAAATAGTATTTTAATATTTAGTGCGACTAAATACCTCTTTTGTTAAAACTTGACCCTGAGTTTTGCGTGCTGGAATATAAACTATAAAACTGAAAACACACCCAAAAATACACTGGCTAATATTGGTGTTTCTACAATACTGTGCTGCTTCTCTCCTAATATTAACATAACATATCTGAAAGGACCTTCCCATCAGCAGTGGCGTAAAAGGAGTGGTCTGGGGGAACTACCCAAGTAAGGAAACAGGAAATTTCCTATCTAAAACTTCCTAAGAATTTATTCCAAACTATGGTGGTATTTTACTATAAAAATGCCATTTCCCCAAATCTTGAATAAAATCAACGGTCATTTTCATCCTGCAGGTTTAGTAGCTTGGGGGAAGCCCCATAATCCTTGGCTTAATAAACACAGCACTACAGTTTTAACTCTGTAGAATTCTAAATGGTATTTTGAAAATCATATAAGGGGCTTTAAGTTAGGTGTGTTTACACTCTTTAAAATTTCTAGATATTGAAAGCAGCTCTACATTTCTTAAAATATTCAATTAATATAAAATTTAACAAATGAACTAAGGCAATTTCCAGTGGTGACAAGATTCTCACAGTAGCAAATTATCTAACTTCTAGTAATTTTCCTGTAATTCCAGGATTATTTAATACAACTAAGTCTTTCAAACATTATAATGCTAAACATTGCAGTTTATCTAAATTACAGAGGAAAAAATATATCAACATTGAAAGCTCAAAAGAAGTTACTGATAAAAAATACATGCTATCCAATGGATCTCTAAACAGGTTTTATTTGAAGATTTTTTTTAAAATTTTCGATGTGTTTTGTTTCTAGACCAAAAACTACACTTTAAAACAAGTAAAATGTCGATGCTTTAAGTTATACTTCAAAACCTGATTTACTCGATTGTATAAATTCTGTTGTGTGGCATTAATACTTAGGATATATCCAGCTCTGAAAAGCACTGCAAGTTCTTTGTGTGAGCAACAAAAGACATTCAAAATCCTGAGTGCTATGGCAGGCTTCTTATTTGTACCCTCAGATGGCATCCTGCCCTTCAGTGGTGATGTCTTTCAATTACTGGTCCTATGTGACCAATGCCACACAAAAGGGACAGGATGTGTTTTACTATGAATTTGCTAGAAGTGGATGTAACCATTGCATTAACTGACTGTAAGCTCCAGCTGCTTATTAAAAAACCCAAACCAAACCCTTTTTACCTTTAGTAATCCTGAGGAATCTTTGCATATTTATGTAATACATTGTATATTATATTTATGGCCTGTTTATACTATTTTCAAGAAGAGAATATGGTTTTAAACTATTAGTAAGTCAAAATTATTTGATAGGGCTAAATCAATTTGTCTTCTTTCCTTGGTCCTTGGATTCCTTAAATGATGGCATCATGTTCATCTCTGTAATATCAAAAGTTACAATTATTTTGTATTCCTATCAAAACTACTTACATGTTCGTATTTATAAGTAAAAAAACAATTTCAAGTTTCACAATCAAAATTGTCATTGCTCTGTGTAAAGTTTCCAAGTAAAGTATCCAGTATTCTGTAGTGGTTCAAGATTTCAACAGTAGTTAAAGTTATCAAACAGACCTGAACTCAAATCTCTGCTTCTTACCTGGCTGAAGGACTTTTCATCAGTTAGTTATTATAACTTACCTCTTTAAAAAGAAAACAACAACAAAAAAAACCCAAACACTCAAACCCCATATATCATTTCTTGAACATTTACTGTGCCAGGTGGTGTGCTATACCTTCTATCTCATTCAATATGCAGAGGGCATTTATTTTTATTCATTATCTCATTTTTCAGAACTCAGGAGCTAAGCATGCATGTGAACTCTATCTTCAGAGTGTGAGCTTTTGACCACGCATACTACACTGCCTCATTTATATAAGCATGGGAAGGTATCCTGCTAGTCAACAGCAGAACCAGTCTCAAAACTAAATCTGTCTGGGTCTGAGGGGAGAGGGAAATGAGGAGTTTGCTCTTCAACAGGTATAAAGTTTCAGTTATGCAAGATAAATTCCAGAGATCTGCTGTACAATATTGTGCATATAGTTAATGACACTCTATTCTACACTTAAAATTTGTTAAGAGAGTAGATCTCATATTAAATGTTCTTACTATAATTTTTTTTTAAAAAAGCAACTAAATCTGTCCCAAGCCCTATCTTTTAACTATTTCGCTCCACTGACTCTTCATGTAACTCTAAGAAACAAGAAGCTAAAATTCTCATCGGTGTTTTAATCTAATAAATGAAAATCAGAAATGCACCAGATATAGATGATCTCAGTTTCTTTAGTGGGACATATATATAGTCCCTCTATATAGTCCTTATTATACAGTACAATTTTTTATAGCTTCAAAGGAACTACTGGCTTTAAAATGGACTTTTGGCTGGGCATGGTGGCTTACGCCTATAATCCCTAGCACTCTGGGGAGGCTGAGGCGGGTGGATCGCTCAAAGTCAGGAGTTCGAAACCAGCCTGAGCAAGAGCGAGACCCCCATCTCTACTAAAAAATAGAAAGAAAATTAATTGGCCAACTAAAATATATAGAAAAAATTAGCCGGGCATGGTGGCGCATGCCTGTAGTCCCAGCTACTCAGAAGGCTGAGGCAGAAGGATCCCTTGAGCCCAGGAGTTTGAGGTTGCTGTGACGTAGGCTGACGCCACAGCACTCTAGCCCAGGCAACAGAGGGAGACTCTGTCTCAAAAAAAGAAAATAAAATGGACTTTTTTTTGTATGTACACTAAGAAAATCACAGGCAACTAAACACCCAACATAGTGTTTTCTCATCCCATAGATTTTTAAGGTGCATCCTAATTGCAAAGATGTTAAAATATGGGGGAAAAAAGTAAAAAGGGTGAACTTAGACTTGACTAAATACTGTATTTTCACCATCTTCTGACTCCTATATGGAAATAAGACTCCCTTTTATTGTAAAACTTCCAGTCTATGCCTCTGCCAGCACAGTTCCCATACAATATGGGGATTCTTGGATTTTGACTTCTTCCATAGGGCACATAGCATTACTGGGTCATGTACATGTGAGAAAAAAAATTTTTAGCTCATAAAGCTAAAATTATACACTTTGTAGTTACAGCAGTTTAAAATGAAAAAACAGAACATTTTTTAGTTTAACTGCCTCACTATTTAACAGCCTCAACCATATCAACAAATGTTATAATAATAAAAAATGGCATTTTAATTTACTATAATAAAAATCTGCCTACCGTTTCTTGGGTGAAATTAAGTAAGAAAACAGACGATTAAATATTTCTAGAAATGTAGTGATTTTAAAAAATATTTCTAGGCTGGGCAAGGTAATTCATGCCTGTAATCCTAGCACTTTGGGAGGCCAAGGCAGGAGGATCGCTTGAAGTCAGGTGTTCAAGACCAGCCTGAGCAACACAGCAAGATCCTGTCTCTACAAAAAATAGAAAAAATTAGCCAGGCATAGTGGCACATGCCTCTAGTACCAGCTACTCAGGAGGCTAGGACAGGAGGATCACTGGAGCCCAGGAGTTTGAGGTTGCTGTGAGCTATGATCACGTCACTGCCCTCATGCCTGGACAATAGAGCAAGACCCTGTCTCTGAAAAAATATAAAAACTAAAAAATATTTCAAATTGTAAAGCATTTTTAAGTTAACTCTACTTAGTGTTTCCTTTATGTATTCTTTTATGTGTTTGACCTTAAAAAAGAATTAATGCTTCTGAATATGCCTTTAATCTGACAAACTACCACCTTGATATTCTTTAAGAGAGTTTGATATGAATATATGGCAACGTAACTTTCTATTTAAATATAATTAAATTTGATATAACTTTTTAATTATAATTTTTAAAAATCTATTTTTTTCTTAAATATCTTTTTTAAGTATTAGTAATATAACTTTGCTAGATCCTGTTTTCACTTATGGTATGATGTTTATTTAGAAGTTTATGTCAATGAATTGAAAATTTCAGAGCCTATGTTATTTAGTACTAGTTAATGTGCCAAGAAGTATGATTTGCTTTTATATATGTTTAATTAAATCTAGTGTCAAAACTAGAAGATTCCCTCCAATGGCTTATTTCCAATATTTCCCAAAAATGTATTCCACACAATACTAGTTCCAAGAGATAGATAATAAATACTAGCTCCTCTTGAAAAGGGAGGGGGGATTTTATTCATTCAACAAATATTTCAGTGAAAAATCTGAGAAATATTTCACTCTATTTCCTTCTGGAAATTCATAAAGCACATCAGCATATCAAAGGCTTAGAGAAGTCTCACAGTAAATAGTTATAGTTTACTTTATTCAAGCTAGCATTTCCCAAACGTTTCTGATGTAGGAACTTTGTGTAGAACACATATGTATATGACAACTGTTAACCCTCAAAGTTTGGGAAACTGGTCATCTATTATATGTTTTTTATATGCATTAACAATCAAAAGAATGAACTGGCTCTTGTAAATGTGTAACGGACACAAATGAATGTGTTCCCCAAAATACATTATGTTGAAACCCTAATCTCAATGTGATGGTATTTTGAGGTAGGGCCTTTGGGAGGTAATTAGGCCCTAAGAGTGGAGCCCTCATGAATGGGATTAGCACCCTTACAAGAAGAGGTCAGAGAGCTAGCAAGCCTTTCCTTTTTGCTACCCGAGGATACAATGAATGACAAGCTGACAGTCTGCAACCTGGAGGAAGGCCCTTACCAGAACTCAACCATGCTGGCATCCTGATCTTGGACTCCAGCTTCCAGAAGGGTAAGAAATAAATGTTTCCTGTTTAAGATACCCAACTCTATGATAATTTGTTATACCAGCCAGAACTAAAACAACTTATAAGACTCAAAGGTTCACTAGGGTCTTGATTGCTTAAAAAAAAAAAGACTCAAAGGACTGACTACTGGGGCAACAAAAACCTGGTAGATGATACATCCCAAAACCATGAGACCTACAGAGCTCTATGTAGGGTAAACATGGTTTGCTGATTAGGTCTTGTTGCTTAAGCTCATCTAAAAAGACAGTTTTACCACAGATAAAATAATAAAGTATATTATTTATACTAACCACTTGTTTAAATTATCAGGAAAAATGAAGGAGGCTATCAAAGGAAATTCTCCAGTTTCTTTGTCTTAGTCATGGAAAGCAAAAACCGTATTTTACCAAGGCTGCTTAGTATCAGCAACAGAACACAAGACCTACTAGGTCCGTGGCCTGATGAGACCCTGGTATTTCCTATGATCAGTGATACAAGCAAGTGAAAGGGGTGGCTCAACTTTGGTCTCTTGTAAAATATGTTTAACACTAGTAAAATTACAAACATTGTTATAGGTACATACATCCGTTTTCATTTGCAAATAATTATAATCACAAGCTTGTACTTAAACAATTTACTGTGGGCAGAGAGGGATAATAGGGATATAACTCATAAATCTATGAATTATTCATCCCTGAGATGAACACTGGCCTGATACTTTTGTCACGATAATTAAAGATACACAGACATAATTTTTTTAAAGTCCTGGTCAATCAAAACTTACATGGTTCTATACCGAATGCCTCTTCTTGAGTAATACATTTTGCATCCAATGTAAAGAATAGATAAAACTCCCAGTGTTAATACAATACCACCAACAAAGCTCCCAGTATCAAATTTTGATCCTTTATTTTCTTTAGAATGAATAGTTGCTGTGACTAGAAAAAAAAAAAAATGAAACAGAGCTTTAGTGCTTTTTAAAAAACATTGTATTGATAATTAACTAAAACTTTCTGAATTTCTGTTTGAGAACACTGAACTGGGAATTAAGGGAAATCTAGGCATAGGAAGATTCTGTATTTATTTTTGCACACTAGAATGACCACCTAAATGCGGCACTTAACAACTACTGGCGGCATAGGAAAAATAGGTCCATTTTAATACATACCTGTTATTGATGAAGAAAGAGACGTCACCAAAGTATTGTGGGTTGTGGTCACTGTGGATGTTGACACCTGAGATGTACTTTGTGTAACATTTGTTTTGGGCGTAGACTTTAAGGTGGTAGAAGTCATATTTGTTGAGACCACCGCTGATGTTGTCGTCTTAGATGCTGCCGTGGGTTTCATAGTGCTCACGACTGAGGAAGGTGCAGTTGTTGGTTTCACAGTGCTGTTGGAATGTTTAGTTGTATTGTTGGGAAGCACATGTTGGATATTCTCTGCAATAATGTCAAGAAACATCAGAACTGGAATTATGACTTAAGCAATTAAGATTCTACTTCACTTGGACTTTCACAGTCAACACATAAAGCAAGAGGTCTAACCAATACAGCCGCATTCAAGATATTTATCCCATTAATACTTTGCACATCATACTGCAATAAAATATCCCAAAATATGCAACAGAAAAACCATGTCTAGATTTACATAAAGTTAGGAAGTTTTGTGAAGATACGAAAAAGAAAAAACCCAGAGACTGAGTTGCTTCAGTGCAAGGGCAGTGTCTTAATCATCTCTGTGCCTTAACATATTTCGTATCATATAACAGGCTTTCAACAAATACTAGCTGAATGGATGAATAAACTAATGAACATTTTAAAAGGTTTTTAAAGTACAAGTTCTCTGCCACATCCTTCTAAGGTGCTTTGAAGACAACTGATCAGCAGCTGTATGTTTCTAACCCTCTGGTAGGATGAGAGTATGAGTAAGTTGCTCTCTGCAAGGGTAAAACCAACTTCTCACAATGCATTATGAAGTAGAAAGCATCACAAAATGTGGAAATTTCATACTGGTAATAATAACTTCCTACAGTTGGAAGGATATTTCTAAAATTATTTCTGAAAGCTTTAAAAAAATCCAAAAGCCAGTTTTATGTGAGAGGATCATTAGTGATGATTTAAAATGAACAACTCAATACCTTAGCTCATACCTGAAACTGGGTTTTTCTTTTTTGGTATGAAATAATATTATATACACAAAAAGGAATAGGTATTTATCATGTCAATAATTCCTTCAAACTCCTTAAACTCCTATTTTGTTTTTCATTTAGTAAAGGTTTCTTCTTTCTTTTTGTTGTATAAAATACACCATATAACCAAAAGCAGACCTTTCTGTGTTAACATTATTTCATATTGTATCATCATTGTAACTCCACAACTAACAGTTATAACTATGGTACTTATTAGTATACAGTGTCTAGGTTCTAGGGAAACAAAACCTTTAATAAATATTTGCCCCTTTAATATGATACAATTTATCTCTGTATTCATTTCCTCTCAAAGTTTATAGGTGTATTGGTTTCCTATGTTGCCTACTGCTATGGTTTGTCTGTCCCCACCAAAACTCATATTGAAATTTGATTCCCAATGTTGAAAGATAGGGTCTAGGTGTCTGAATCATGGGAGTGGATTCCTCAGGAATGGCCACACTGGATGAGTTCCTGCGAGGATGGATTGGTTCCCATGAGTGGGTTGTTATAAAGCCAAGATGCCCCTTGGGTTTTCTCTTCACAAATCCAATTCTCCTTTCACCTTCTCCACCATGTTGTGACACAGCATGGAAGCCCTCTCTGGAAGCCAGAGTCATGTCCTTGAACTTCCAGCCTGCAGAACCCTGAACTAAATAAAACTCTTTTCTGTATAAATTATCCAGTTTCAGATATTCAACTAAACACCCAACATAGTGTTTTCTCATCCCATAGATTTTTAAGGTGCATCCTAATTGCAAAGATGTTAAAATATGGGGGAAAAAAGTAAAAAGGGTGAACTTAGACTTGACTAAATACTGTATTTTCACCATCTTCTGACTCCTATATGGAAATAAGACTCCCTTTTATTGTAAAACTTCCAGTCTATGCCTCTGCCAGCACAGTTCCCATACAATATGGGGATTCTTGGATTTTGACTTCTTCCATAGGGCACATAGCATTACTGGGTCATGTACATGTGAGAAAAAAAATTTTTAGCTCATAAAGCTAAAATTATACACTTTGTAGTTACAGCAGTTTAAAATGAAAAAACAGAACATTTTTTAGTTTAACTGCCTCACTATTTAACAGCCTCAATCATATCAACAAATGTTATAATAATAAAAAATGGCATTTTAATTTACTATAATAAAAATCTGCCTACCGTTTCTTGGGTGAAATTAAGTAAGAAAACAGACGATTAAATATTTCTAGAAATGTAGTGATTTTAAAAAATATTTCTAGGCTGGGCAAGGTAATTCATGCCTGTAATCCTAGCACTTTGGGAGGCCAAGGCAGGAGGATCGCTTGAAGTCAGGTGTTCAAGACCAGCCTGAGCAACACAGCAAGATCCTGTCTCTACAAAAAATAGAAAAAATTAGCCAGGCATAGTGGCACATGCCTCTAGTACCAGCTACTCAGGAGGCTAGGACAGGAGGATCACTGGAGCCCAGGAGTTTGAGGTTGCTGTGAGCTATGATCACGTCACTGCCCTCATGCCTGGACAATAGAGCAAGACCCTGTCTCTGAAAAAATATAAAAACTAAAAAATATTTCAAATTGTAAAGCATTTTTAAGTTAACTCTACTTAGTGTTTCCTTTATGTATTCTTTTATGTGTTTGACCTTAAAAAAGAATTAATGCTTCTGAATATGCCTTTAATCTGACAAACTACCACCTTGATATTCTTTAAGAGAGTTTGATATGAATATATGGCAACGTAACTTTCTATTTAAATATAATTAAATTTGATATAACTTTTTAATTATAATTTTTAAAAATCTATTTTTTTCTTAAATATCTTTTTTAAGTATTAGTAATATAACTTTGCTAGATCCTGTTTTCATTTATGGTATGATGTTTATTTAGAAGTTTATGTCAATGAATTGAAAATTTCAGAGCCTATGTTATTTAGTACTAGTTAATGTGCCAAGAAGTATGATTTGCTTTTATATATGTTTAATTAAATCTAGTGTCAAAACTAGAAGATTCCCTCCAATGGCTTATTTCCAATATTTCCCAAAAATGTATTCCACACAATACTAGTTCCAAGAGATAGATAATAAATACTAGCTCCTCTTGAAAAGGGAGGGGGGATTTTATTCATTCAACAAATATTTCAGTGAAAAATCTGAGAAATATTTCACTCTATTTCCTTCTGGAAATTCATAAAGCACATCAGCATATCAAAGGCTTAGAGAAGTCTCACAGTAAATAGTTATAGTTTACTTTATTCAAGCTAGCATTTCCCAAACGTTTCTGATGTAGGAACTTTGTGTAGAACACATATGTATATGACAACTGTTAACCCTCAAAGTTTGGGAAACTGGTCATCTATTATATGTTTTTTATATGCATTAACAATCAAAAGAATGAACTGGCTCTTGTAAATGTGTAACGGACACAAATGAATGTGTTCCCCAAAATACATTATGTTGAAACCCTAATCTCAATGTGATGGTATTTTGAGGTAGGGCCTTTGGGAGGTAATTAGGCCCTAAGAGTGGAGCCCTCATGAATGGGATTAGCACCCTTACAAGAAGAGGTCAGAGAGCTAGCAAGCCTTTCCTTTTTGCTACCCGAGGATACAATGAATGACAAGCTGACAGTCTGCAACCTGGAGGAAGGCCCTTACCAGAACTCAACCATGCTGGCATCCTGATCTTGGACTCCAGCTTCCAGAAGGGTAAGAAATAAATGTTTCCTGTTTAAGATACCCAACTCTATGATAATTTGTTATACCAGCCAGAACTAAAACAACTTATAAGACTCAAAGGTTCACTAGGGTCTTGATTGCTTAAAAAAAAAAAGACTCAAAGGACTGACTACTGGGGCAACAAAAACCTGGTAGATGATACATCCCAAAACCATGAGACCTACAGAGCTCTATGTAGGGTAAACATGGTTTGCTGATTAGGTCTTGTTGCTTAAGCTCATCTAAAAAGACAGTTTTACCACAGATAAAATAATAAAGTATATTATTTATACTAACCACTTGTTTAAATTATCAGGAAAAATGAAGGAGGCTATCAAAGGAAATTCTCCAGTTTCTTTGTCTTAGTCATGGAAAGCAAAAACCGTATTTTACCAAGGCTGCTTAGTATCAGCAACAGAACACAAGACCTACTAGGTCCGTGGCCTGATGAGACCCTGGTATTTCCTATGATCAGTGATACAAGCAAGTGAAAGGGGTGGCTCAACTTTGGTCTCTTGTAAAATATGTTTAACACTAGTAAAATTACAAACATTGTTATAGGTACATACATCCGTTTTCATTTGCAAATAATTATAATCACAAGCTTGTACTTAAACAATTTACTGTGGGCAGAGAGGGATAATAGGGATATAACTCATAAATCTATGAATTATTCATCCCTGAGATGAACACTGGCCTGATACTTTTGTCACGATAATTAAAGATACACAGACATAATTTTTTTAAAGTCCTGGTCAATCAAAACTTACATGGTTCTATACCGAATGCCTCTTCTTGAGTAATACATTTTGCATCCAATGTAAAGAATAGATAAAACTCCCAGTGTTAATACAATACCACCAACAAAGCTCCCAGTATCAAATTTTGATCCTTTATTTTCTTTAGAATGAATAGTTGCTGTGACTAGAAAAAAAAAAAAATGAAACAGAGCTTTAGTGCTTTTTAAAAAACATTGTATTGATAATTAACTAAAACTTTCTGAATTTCTGTTTGAGAACACTGAACTGGGAATTAAGGGAAATCTAGGCATAGGAAGATTCTGTATTTATTTTTGCACACTAGAATGACCACCTAAATGCGGCACTTAACAACTACTGGCGGCATAGGAAAAATAGGTCCATTTTAATACATACCTGTTATTGATGAAGAAAGAGACGTCACCAAAGTATTGTGGGTTGTGGTCACTGTGGATGTTGACACCTGAGATGTACTTTGTGTAACATTTGTTTTGGGCGTAGACTTGAAGGTGGTAGAAGTCATATTTGTTGAGACCACCCCTGATGTTGTCGTCTTAGATGCTGCCGTGGGTTTCATAGTGCTCACGACTGAGGAAGGTGCAGTTGTTGGTTTCACAGTGCTGTTGGAATGTTTAGTTGTATTGTTGGGAAGCACATGTTGGATATTCTCTGCAATAATGTCAAGAAACATCAGAACTGGAATTATGACTTAAGCAATTAAGATTCTACTTCACTTGGACTTTCACAGTCAACACATAAAGCAAGAGGTCTAACCAATACAGCCGCATTCAAGATATTTATCCCATTAATACTTTGCACATCATACTGCAATAAAATATCCCAAAATATGCAACAGAAAAACCATGTCTAGATTTACATAAAGTTAGGAAGTTTTGTGAAGATACGAAAAAGAAAAAACCCAGAGACTGAGTTGCTTCAGTGCAAGGGCAGTGTCTTAATCATCTCTGTGCCTTAACATATTTCGTATCATATAACAGGCTTTCAACCAATACTAGCTGAATGGATGAATAAACTAATGAACATTTTAAAAGGTTTTTAAAGTACAAGTTCTCTGCCACATCCTTCTAAGGTGCTTTGAAGACAACTGATCAGCAGCTGTATGTTTCTAACCCTCTGGTAGGATGAGAGTATGAGTAAGTTGCTCTCTGCAAGGGTAAAACCAACTTCTCACAATGCATTATGAAGTAGAAAGCATCACAAAATGTGGAAATTTCATACTGGTAATAATAACTTCCTACAGTTGGAAGGATATTTCTAAAATTATTTCTGAAAGCTTTAAAAAAATCCAAAAGCCAGTTTTATGTGAGAGGATCATTAGTGATGATTTAAAATGAACAACTCAATACCTTAGCTCATACCTGAAACTGGGTTTTTCTTTTTTGGTATGAAATAATATTATATACACAAAAAGGAATAGGTATTTATCATGTCAATAATTCCTTCAAACTCCTTAAACTCCTATTTTGTTTTTCATTTAGTAAAGGTTTCTTCTTTCTTTTTGTTGTATAAAATACACCATATAACCAAAAGCAAATCTTTCTGTGTTAACATTATTTCATATTGTATCATCATTGTAACTCCACAACTAACAGTTATAACTATGGTACTTATTAGTATACAGTGTCTAGGTTCTAGGGAAACAAAACCTTTAATAAATATTTGCCCCTTTAATATGATACAATTTATCTCTGTATTCATTTCCTCTCAAAGTTTATAGGTGTATTGGTTTCCTATGTTGCCTACTGCTATGGTTTGTCTGTCCCCACCAAAACTCATATTGAAATTTGATTCCCAATGTTGAAAGATAGGGTCTAGGTGTCTGAATCATGGGAGTGGATTCCTCAGGAATGGCCACACTGGATGAGTTCCTGCGAGGATGGATTGGTTCCCATGAGTGGGTTGTTATAAAGCCAAGATGCCCCTTGGGTTTTCTCTTCACAAATCCAATTCTCCTTTCACCTTCTCCACCATGTTGTGACACAGCATGGAAGCCCTCTCTGGAAGCCAGAGTCATGTCCTTGAACTTCCAGCCTGCAGAACCCTGAACTAAATAAAACTCTTTTCTGTATAAATTATCCAGTTTCAGATATTCTTTTATAGCAACATAAAACAAAGACACCTATACAGTCCCATCTTATTCTTTATGTCCAAATACTAAAGACAGAGAATTAACCCCTGGGCCTTCCCTCTCCTTTCCCCCACAATGAGAACACTACCAGTGCCCTCAAGGCTCCCTACACACCACTGCCATCATGCACCAAAAATGATTACTTCGTAGATAATCATCTAGTCTTCCACACTATTTTAGACTTATTCTTGAAAGATTCCAGTATTTACTTTTGACATAACTGTCAAAACAGGTCGGTTTTAATAGTGATGCTTATCTGCGTATCAGCTTTTACCAGTGTAATTCCTGCAATACTTTCTCTCAACTTTGGATCTCTACTCTGTGGTCTCCTTCCACTAAGTATTATCTATTTTTTAAAAGGGCCAAGGGATTAATTCTTTTATGCTACATAGACAGATAAAATAATAATCCATGTAGAAGATACAAATGCTATGAACTTGAACTAATCTTTTCTTAATCAATTCTGAATATTTTCTAAAGAGATATAAATAATACATTTTAGCATTAAAACAATCACATTTTAAGCTGCTGAATGAATTCTATTGTGATGAAATACAGCAAACAACCAGCGTTTGCATCATATCTTTAGAACAGAATGATTTTTGCAGAGTGAAACAACACAATGCTGCTTTTGAATTCAACACACATACACACACACACAGGCTCCCCAGCCCCCGCTATAATTAGACATTCTTCAGAGATACTGTACAAAGTCACATAAGCAAAAATGGGAAGCTGTAATAGGTTAGTTCTCCACTAAGTCAATCCAAATGTGCTGAAGAAACAATGAAGCTAAAAATTTCTACAAATCAGGAAAACAAGCAAAAGAAGTTTTGTATTAAACTGTGCCTCCTGATGTCTAAATGTGCAATGCAAGCAAGATGCTCTCTTCAAGGTTAGAACTCATATCCAATGACCAACTCCCTTGTTCTGTAATATAAGTAAACAGTCATTTGTTTTCCTCTGCAAATGATACCATCCCAAGTCTGGTCTTCTTCCTTCTCCCTTAACTGTTGGGAGAGGCAAAGTCAAGACCAGCATAGGAAATAGACCATCCAGCAGGACTTGCAAAGGATGAACCCCTATCTGACTCTATCCTTCTTAGCCACTCAGTCTCCTTCTGCCTCTGACACGCTGAGGTTGAAGGTCTGGAGAGCAGATGCTGTGAAGGGGTGTGAGTACACAGTGTGTCTACTAGCACTTCTGTCTGTGGCGGAAAAGAGGAGAATGCTACCCTTCCACTTCACACCAACCTAGAAAGGCTTCAAAGAACTACCTGAAAAGCTGGATAAGTACCTCCTGGACTTAGATGAACACAGAAACTAGGATCTGACTTAAGCCTGAAAAGCAAGCCTAAAGGTGAGACACTGTGGCTAAGCTCTATCTACCCATTAGCTCAGTTTAAAAGGCCACACTGGGAGTAGCCTCTGTCTCCTTAACAGCAATGGTTCTCCTTTCCCACGAACCAAACCAGACCCCATGGAAGACAGTTGGCAGGGTATTGCCTTTTTAAAAAAGATAGCTTCCCGAGACAGCATGGTCTGGGGGGGTGGGGATAACCAGCGGAGGGGTGGAGCGCAAGAGCAAGGGCCAGCCGCAGGAGGCCCACTGGGAGGCTTGGCAGGTGACCCCCAGGAACCTGCCAATGAGAGCCACACATCTGCCATCCAGAGGGCACCTGTGCCAAGTGGAAGCATCCTGGCCATCAAGCAAATGGCTTACGCCTCTAGGCCTGATTCTGCGAGGGTCACAAACAGCAGATGTGAAGGGCAGAAGAGGCAGAACAAGGAGGGAAGCCGATAACATCCACTTTCCCACTGCAGGCTTCTAAGCCTGACGCAGGTTTGGGCTGGCAGAGGGGAGAAATTCCACTTGCAAATCATACTGTTGAGTTTCATTATTTGGGTATTATCCTGGACAGGAGCTACACCCTCTAAACAGAACATGTTCAATAAACTGGACATTCTACCTGTAACACCAGCTAGTGTAGGCGGGAGGGCACAGCCCCCAGGCAGAGGGTATATGTGACACACAGTTGTCCATGCTCAGGGGTAAGGGTTGAATTGTGCCCCTCAAATTCTTATGCTGAAGTCCTAACCCCTAATCCCTCAGAAGGTGACCTTATTTGGAGATAGGGTCTTTATAGAGGTCATATCAAGTTAAAGTCCGTCATTAGGGTCAGCCCTAATCCATTACAGCTGGTGTCCTTATAAAAGGAAAATGTGGAGACAGACAGACTGACACACACACGGAGAACATCCTGTAAAGATGAAGGCAGAGATCACAGTGATGTTGCCACGAGCCAAGGGCTGCCAAAAAACCACCAGAAGGTAGGTGAGCGGCACGGAACAGATTCTCTCTCTCGTGGCTCTCAGAAAGAACCAACCCTGCTATCACCTTCATCTCTAACTCTAGCCTCCGGAACCATGAGAAAGTAAATTTCTGCTGTTTAAGCCATCTAGTTTCTGGTACTTTGTTATAGCAGCCCTAGCAAATTGTTATACTCAGCTTTAAAGTTGTTTTTTTTTTCATTTATAACAAAATACACCTCTGTGCAATTGTATAATTGGCATTAGTGGCCGTAATGAGCTGGTTTCTTTTATAGATCTTTGGAACTAATCACTATGTATGAATTAAGTCAGTAAATACTTGTCGAACCACTCTCAAAACTTACTTAAATGAAACCTGAGATCTTCCATAGGTTTCAATCAGAGACATAAGATCTTAACTTCTTGATCTTAACTTCTGGTTTCAACTAACACAACTACGGGACAAATGAAGTGAGGGGCTGTAATAACAGTCTCCACGCAATTTCCTTCCCCGCAGCTGCAGTGTTTGGCCCACAATGAAAGACGACGACAAACAACACACACATGGATACGAGTGATGTTTTGACACTGCTCTAAAAAATATTCATGTAGTCCAATCAGTTCTCCATTCCTGTTTTTTAGTAAAACCATTCCTCCAGCCTAATTTTCCTGTGATGGAATTAAAGCTTCTATTTACTGAGTTCTTCACCAAGCCTGGTGATGTTTTCCAAGCACAGTGGGTCCCAGCTCCAAGCCCTGGATCAGCTCAGCCATTTACTTGCTGGGGTACGTTAGACAAGTTACTTAATCTCTGAGATTCACTATCCTTCCTCATCTATAAATCAGTTTGGGAGAATTAAATGAGATGAGCACACAGCACAGTGGTATGGTAGAGGTGCTTAATGAATTTTCTTTTTTAACTATTAGTTTCAACAAATGTAACTCCCCTTCAGAGCTCCAAAGCCGTAAAGTTCCCGGTGGGAGGCTGGGGAGCAGGCACCGTCAGAGCTCCCGTTTCCCTTGGTGATCATAACTACCATCTGCACAACATCCTGTCGAAGAGGATGCTACTGTGGTATTTTCAGTTTATCAATACAAATAACCAAAAAGAACAAAGTGATGCCCAGGCCTTTCTCTGGTAACACCAGCCATCTATCTTATTGCAACAAGGCCAAGGATGTTACGAAGGAGTCTGTTTTCTCTAACACAAA